CTCATGCTCCCTGCATCTGCCGCCCCAGGTCCCGGGAAGTCGGGTCCTCACGAGGAAGAGTCTAGAATGACCCGGCGAAGTGTAGCACATGATGGAAGCAGAGAGGGACCTACGTGGGTGGAAGAAGAGTTGTGGGCGGAGCTGTATTTCCCTGCTGCACCCAGGGGCCCCGAGCACAGGAAGTCTGCAAAAAGCCACGGGCACCCGTGGGTGTGTGTGTGTGCGGTGCAGTTAATCCATCCTCCGATTCCAGCTCTCGGCCACCTACATAAACTTGCCTTCTTTAGACTTTGCAAACACACAGGATCACACACTATTTGGTCTTTGAAACTACCTTCTTCCATTCAGGATAATGTTTTTAAGATTCAACCCCGTTGGCGCATATATTTCTTTTTATTGGTGCATAATAGCCCACTGAATGGGTATTAACCGCACGTTTATTTGTTCTCCAACTGACGGCCATTCAGATTATTTGCCTAAGGAGAATCCTGCTATGAATATTCACATAGACGTAATGCTGTGGACGTTCTCCGTCTTCTGGGACTGAGTTCCAGGAGGGAATGGCTGGGGCAGACGGGAAGTTCTCGTTTCGCTTTTTAATAAAGTTCCCCACCGCTGAGCCGGCGCGGGTAGACCAGTTACCTGACCGTGTCTCCGATTTTCATCTCCCTGAGGACCAAGGAGGCTGCGCATCTGATTCTGGGCTAATTTACCATCCGTTGACCTTCTCTGCGGAAATGTTTGCCCATTTTGTTTCGGGTTGTTTACCTCTTTACTGAGTTGCATGCGTTGTTTATAAACACTGCATGCCGGAATTCTTCACCGGTGCATCATTTGTAAACATTTTCTCACCGCCGGTCGCTTGCATTCTCATTTTCGTAATGATGTGTTTTGAAATGTGACACTTTTAAATGTCTACGCGATCCAGTTTATCGGCTTTTCTTTTTTTTTTTTTTTCCTTTGAGGAGCTGTGATTTCGGTGTTGAATCTAAGAACTCTTTGCTCACCCCAAGATCATGGAAATGCTCTATTTTTTATACAAAATGTTATACAAAATTTATATACAAATGTATCATTTAAACTCTTACATTTAGGTCTATGATTTATTTTGAGTTAATGCTTGTAGATGGGGGTGATCTAAGTAAAGATCTAAGCTTTTTTTTCTGTTTATTTTTTTTTTCCATAAGGATCTCTATCTCCCAAATGGCCCCGGCACCGTCTGTTGAAAAGTGTTTGCATGAGATCGGTGTCATTTCTGCGGTAAGAATTTTGGAAAAATTCAACGTGGAGGCCACACGGGAGCAGGCTTTCCTTGTGAGAGGGTCTTGATGTGAATCTGACACACACACCCACACACCCCATTCCCTCCTGTCCAACTCCCTGCATGGGGTTTGCGTATGACCTCAGCCTGCTGTGTGAAAGCCGCAAGGGGAAACACAGAACTCTGTCTGATTCTCAGTGCCGCTCACACATCCCCCATGAAGGCGCTTCTGATCATCTAAAGTGTCATTTGGCTTAAAAGCTTCATAAAAGTTTCCATTTTCCTCCCCAAAACAGCCCTATTCATTTCCTTGTGGACAGAAAGCTGCAGATAACCAGCGTCCAGTGGCGCAGACTGCCTGAAGGAGACACACCATCTTTCCACCCAGGGCCTTTGTGCTTTTGGGGGTCCATCGTCCCCCCGGGGTGTGCTGCTCCACCCACCTTGGAGAACCAGCGCTGGACCCCGGCATCAAGGTCCTACGGTGGTCAGTTTCCTTCCTCTGAGCACAAAAAGGCAGACAGTGCGCCTGCATGCAGAGCGAGGCTTCCCGGGTCTGATGCTCACGGGCGCAACCAAGACGAAGGGCGCCCGGCACCAGAGATAAACCTGAAATTCTCCACGTCAATACAACACTCTTTGTATCATTAGGGAAAAAACCCCAAACCAGTCCCCCCACAAACATCCATTTTTATCAAAGCAAAGCCTGGGGAGATGGCTGTGTACAAGCCCACAGAGTGGATACATACTAACTCATCTGTGGCGAGCGATGATTTATTTATTATTATTTATCTACAGCCCGGGCATTCCTGGCTTCAGACTCTTGCTCCTCGGTCGCAGGTGACTCGCGCAGCTTGCTGCTGAACCGCGACTTTCCGTCCTAACGGTGCCACAGGTCAAAACATTAACAATATGATGAACCGAAGACGACCTCCTGGGGTCAAGGGCTAAGGCCTCCATGTCCACGGAAGGAGCTTAAAAGACGTATTGCTGAACGAAAGAAGCCAGTCTGAGAAGGCTGCAAACCGTACGATTCCAGCCAAGTGACACTCTGGAAAAGGCACGGCTGCAAAAGCAATGAAAAGGTCGTGGTTTCCAGAGGTTTGGGGAGAGGGAGGGAGGGAGGAACAGATGGAGCACAGGGGATTTTTAGGGCGATGAAATTATTGTGTGCGACACCATAGTGGTGGCCACATGTCACTATGCATTTGTCAAAGCCCATAGAATGTGCACCATCAAGAGTGAGCCCTCATGTAAACTGTGGACTTTGGCTGATAATAATGTGTCCACGTTGGATCATCGATGGCACCAAAGATGCCACACTGACGAGGGATGTTGAGGGTCGGGGAGGACATAGGTGTGGGTGGAGAAGGCTCTGTGCCATCTCTCTGTATTTTCTGCTCAGCTCTGCTATGAGCCTGAAACTGCTCTAAAAGAATAAAGTCTATTTAAAAAATTTTTTTAAAAAGTTTAATTTTACATAAGGCATCACCTTTTATGCCCCGTGACCTGTGCTCCATCAGACGTGGACTCTTTTTTCTTACAAAAACCTTGCTTTCCGTGGGCAGCGGCAGAGAAGGATGGCCATATATTATTCACTGATCCCAACCAATTATTACAGAATGTTTGTTTCTCATGGAAACTGTTCTCATTTTTCAAGCCTGTTTTGTTTTTTTTTAACCAAGACGTCCAAACACCATTTGCCCGCTCACAGTGGGAATACCCCAGAGCTAGAGCTGGATGAAAGCCACGTTATATCCAGTGAACACGTTACCACAAACCTTAAGACGACTTTTGTGATTTGACGCATTTAAATTTATTTCTAGGTGTCTTCCTGGGATGTTCTGATGTAACTGGATCAAACCTTTTCATCCAAATCCTTTTGTAACCTGTAACCCTCCTTAATATAGTTGTAAGAAACATGCATCCTTCACGCCTCTCTGTACCTTATTCGTACAGATTTTATTTTTGAACGCTTTTTGCTTATTCAAAAAAAATAAAATGATGTCTTCATGTAAAACCTGAGTACAAACAAACAAAAAAAAGAATGGCTTTAAGATTTTATCAAAATTTTTAACCTAGCCACACACCATGGGCAAAGAATTAATTCAAAGAATTTCTAAAGTGGGCTAAATCCTAAGGGCGAAAAGATCCACACACATAAAAAAATTCTTTAACGTCCCTCAGCAGGTGTGTATCCTGCGTGTGTGTCACGGGAAAGGACAAAAGAGTAAATGAATGGACGGTGCTGGATTATATACAGACAGGGACGAAGACAGAGATCAAGACAGAGCAAATGTGCCAAAATGTTAGCGACAGGCCGATACAGCGAACGGCGTACAACCGTTCATGGTGCAGTTTTTCAACTTGTCTGTAGCTTTGAAACGTGTAGAAAGCTTCAGAGGATCAAAAAAATCCTCAGGGTTTGACATCGCGTCTCCCCAGGTTTTGCAAACATCCCAAGGGGAGCCCCCTGACCGACACCAGAGCTTTGTCTCTGAGCGGAAGGGACAAGGGGAACACACAGCACGTTGGACACTGAAGGTGCCAAACGTCGGGACGACTGGTACTCGGGCCGTTGCTGAATGCCCTCCAGCCACTGAGAGGCTGGGCCGCCCGCCACCTGCTGCCTGGACCTCGCCATCCCGGTGCCCTAACCGAGTCCACGTCCCCCCACCCCACGGCTAGAGCTGTCAATTTATTTTTTAAAGAGTTTGTGCACGCTCAACGGGCTCCCTGCTCTCAGCCTTGAGGGATGGTCCCCCGTCTTCATAACTAATGTGCCCAGAAGAGCAGCCAGCCCCACAGGCAGTGCCCTCTGGAGCATCTCCGGACACTGTCCACCTATGTTCAGAGGTCGCCGTCCGGCTCCACGCTGATTTCAGCCACCCACCTCGCAGGCTGGCCGGCTGCCTCTCTTGAGACGCCCAGGCCAGGGGCTCGCTCCGTCTCCCTGAGATGCTCCGTCCCCGCCTGTGTCCCAGCACCACGCATGGGGGCCACGCAGAGACAGTCCCATCCCAGTCCTCAGGGGACACGTTCGTGGACTTGAAGACGCGGTCATGTCCCTTCCAAGCTGCACTCAGATGCTCTATCAAACCGGCCCCTCCCGGAGCCCCAATCCTTAATCCCATCCGCCCCGGGAGCACACTCTTGTCAATGCGCCCTTAAGGTGATGACCCGATGGGCCCCCCTACTCTGCGAGCCACATCGTCCTCGCCATTCGGGAGGAGGGAACAGCTTCCCTGCACGATCGGGGACGCCCTGCCATCTCGCTCGCATCGTGCAGACGCGGCTTTTGATCCACCCACCTCGGGCTCTCTTCCCACCTTCTCTTCCCGCCCAGGCTGCTTATGGAAAATATTCCGCCGTGTTCCAAGTGTCACCTGCTTAGTAATGAAAAATTAATGAGCCCAGCCAGCGTGTTTGATTTTTGTCTTGGAAACGGAGAAACTGCTTTGCAAGAACAAACAAAGCAAAATTAAAATAAGGGACTTCCTTCGATAGTGGAAATTGAATTTCTCCCCAGAGAATGTCTTAACGCCTGTAAAGCCGGGGCAGGGGGGGTGCTGAGACCGGTGAGAGCCAGCCTGCATCCCTGCAGCCCCGCACCCGCCGGCCCCCCGGGGCCCCGCGGTCAGAGATGCGTGCGAGTGATGCGGCGCAGGTCCCGGGGCCCTGCACGCCCGGGTCCCCAGGAAGCCGGCGGGGACCGCGGGCGGGCGGGGGGCACACCTACCGTTCTTGCAGATGGGACAGCACTGGTCGGGCTCGTACACGGGGTCCACACACTCCGTCTGGGGACACGCGGACACCGTGCACAGCACTTCCCCGCTGGCCTCACAGCGGCACCGTTCGCACGGGGACACCTGAAACACAGGCCACGGTCAGGGTCAGCGTCAGCGTCCTCACCGCACAACATACAGACGTACCCAGCCCCGGGGTTTAGGGGGGTCCCCTCGGCGTAAACACTGGGTGGCCCCCCGGGGTCTCTGTCTCCCTCTCTGCTCCCCACGGAGCAGCTAATTTTTAATTCGTCCACATAATGAGCTTTCTGTTGAAGACAAGTGTGTTTCTCTGAAGTGCAACAATCAAGGCAGCGTATTGAATTCTTGCCCGAGCAGCAGGCATCCTGCCGGTGACCCCCGTCCCCGCATCTCCGTGTTGAAGCGGCAGGACCGGAGAGGAAGGGGCGGGGCTGAGGAAGGAGCCGGGGGCCCGGCCAGGAGCTGTCTGGATGGGACCTCTCTTAACTCCCAGGCGACCCTAAACTGCACCTACCAACACGACCCGCCCTATTTACGGACGAGGAAACCAAAACTCGGAAGCATCAGGGAGCTGGCCGTGGGCAGACCCTTCACCAGAGGCAGGGCTCCGGCTCCCAAGTCCGTGGTGGTGCCACTCCCCTCCAAGGCCTCGCGTGGGTCAGTCCCTTCCATCACCCAGTGTCACCTGGTCCTCCCGCATCCTGGCTCCAACTTGCCTCCAGCCACTGGCCCCAGTTCTATATTTTGGGTCACTCCAATGGCACGATGGCCGTTCCTGGAAAGGCTGCACCCTGCCAAGGAATCCTCCTAGAAACAACTCTTATGGACTACGATGTGGATGGATCTTTTTCCTGGAAACCACCCACGCGGTGACTTTTCATCTGGGTTGACCCATGACCAAGCAGAAACAGCACATGCAGACCCAGCGATCGGAAGCAGAAGCAGAAGCTGGAAATATGTGCTTTAGAGGACGCTGGACATGGGGGCTGTCAAACCGAGCTTCCCGGACAGGGAGGCCGGGTTGGCAGGGTCACAGAACACATGTGACTCTCAGCGATGCAGTCTTTGTCTACAGACGAGAAAAGGGAGAAACAGAAATCTCCACTGGATGGCCTGCTTATTTCACGAAGCAAAAGCTCGATTTGTACTGAAAGGCATGTTTCTCAGGCGCCAGGCCACAGTCAGCCCAGCTGGGAGTCAGGACTCAAGGGTGTGTGTCTGTGTGTGTGCGTACATGTGCACTCTTAAAAAATAATGGATAGGTACTACTTTATATGAAATAGGTAAATTGCAAAGACCTGTTGTACAGCACAGAGAACTCTATAGATACACTTAGTCTTTTTCAGATGCTTTTCCATTATAGGCTGTTACAAGGTGTATCTACACAACAGCCAAGACATGGATGCACTAAATGTCCATCGACAGAGGACTGGATAGAGAAGCAGCGGTGTATTTATACAATGGAATACTACGCAGCCACGAAAAAGAATGAACTCACGCCATTTGTGGCACCATAGATGGACCTGGAGATCATCATTCTAAGTGAAGTATGTCAGAAAGAGAAAGACAGATATCATGTGGTATCACTTATATGTGGAATTTAAAATATGACACAGGTGAACTTATTTATGAAACAGAAAGAGATTCACAGATATAGAAAACAAACTCATGGTTACCGGGGGTGGGGGAAGGGGGCTGAGGAGGGATAAATTAGGAGTTTGGGACCGGCAGACACACACTACAGTACACAGAATAGATAAACAGCAAGGTCCCACTGTGCAGCACAGGGAAGTGTTTTCAATATCCTGTAATAAGCCATAATAGAAAAGAATATATATATATGTTTAACTGAATCACTATGCTGTGTGCCAAAAACTGACATAATATTGCAAATGAAGTACAGTTAGAGAGGAAGAAAGGAAAAAAGAAAGGAGGGAGGGGGAGAGAGAGAAAGAGAAAGAAAGAAAGAGAAAGGAAGGAAGGAAGGAAAAGAAGAAGGAAGGAAGAAGGAAAGAAAGAAAAAGAAAGAAAGAAAGAAAGAGAAAGAAAGAAAGAAAAGGGAGGGAGGGAGGAAAAAAAGACTAAAAATCTGTAGAGCGTGGCCACGGACAACATCTTGCTCTGATTTGCATCACAGACTTAGAAGCTACAGCCAGTCTCACAACAATATAAAGGCATGTATTTCAACCACATTCTTTTTTGGTGTATATATAATTTTTATTGAAGTGTAGCAGAGAGCAGGTTGAACGTGACTCCCACCTGGTCTGTGTCCCAAACGTCCTTCCACCCTGGAAGGCAGAAACGACTTTCGCACGACATACAATGCCCTTCTTGTCTGATTTCTGGCGCTCAGCACGACGGCTCTGAGATCCGTCCATGTGGGAGCACACACCAGTACTTCTTTCCCTTGGATAATGTCCCACTGAATGGATGTACCACAGGTCCTCTATCCACTTTCTTGTTTAGGGACGTTTGGGTTGTTCTTGTTTCAGGCTGTGACCAAAAAAGCTGCTCTGAAAATTCATGCACACACACACACACACACAAGAAACTGATTTCTAGACATTTCCTCCAGCTCCCTCCTGTCTACACAGCAGGACTTCCCCACCAGCCACCAGCATGCCCACCGACTTGGCAATGTCGCCTTTTCTCAAAGCCAGCTTTCAAACACACCTTCCTCATCTTTGCTGCCAGAAAAGGCCAGTGAGCTGAGCTGGGTGGGAGGTCAGAGATGCCTTGTGTCACCCGCGTCCTGCCGTCTGAGCACCGACCACCATCACATTCCCAGTCTGGGACTTTTTTTTTTTACCGTGATTGCTGGAGAAGGTGCCCTGAAACCCCCCTGCCGCCGGACGCACTGGCTCCTGGTGGCTGCAAAGCGACTCTGGGCTGAACGCCGAGGCCTGCCCACAAGCAGACACGGGGGACGCGTGACACTTCCAGAACAGTTTCCAGCCCTTGTCGTGCTTTCACGGATAGGATTAATTCACGCACGGAGGAGAAAGAGAAGCAGAGATAATGGATGTCAGTGCAGACCCCTCTCGGTTAAAACTGCGCAGCCCCAGACAAACCCCTCTCTCCATTCCTCCTTTCCTTCCATCCGTGGGGAGGGTCTGTTTATCCTTCTAACCCCCAAAGTGATGGATTCCGCAGGGACACAAGAGAAGATTAACATGAACACAATGAGAAACACTGAATTCTGGGCTGGCCTCTCCCTTGCACTTTCCTGATTCCATTTCCTTCGCATCCCCAAGGACCCAGGTCCCCTTGAGTCCTCCTGCCACCCAGAGCCCTGCTCCGGGTCTGCTGGGCAGCTGACACCTGCTTCGGTGCCACGCGGGGGCCAGGGCCACGCCTCTGTCACGCCCGGAATCGTTCCAGTGACGGAGCTGGTGCAAAACGCTGAAAAGGCTGGATGAGCATTGACCAAGTCAGGAAAGACAGGCTCAGAAAGACCCAAGAGCTGAAACGGACGTGCAGGGCGCGTGTTGGAAAACGCTGAACCGAGAAAAATCTGCAGCTTGGCTTCAGGAAGGGCCGCTCCCCGCCTCGGCAGGAGCTGCCCGGGGATCAGACACCCACTCGGGAGGAAAAAGGATCAGACACAAATTGTCCTCTTCCGAGGGTTCACGATGCGGATGGCACGTTTAATCCGCCGAAGGAGGACATACAGGCCCTGGAATGAGACTCACGCTCAAGCCGTGACTTGACAGAAGGGGCAGGATGCTGTGTAATGAAGTGTGTGGACCCTGAGTCTCTCAGCGCACAGTCTGAGATAAAGATTTGCAAATATTAACTACGGTGCATAAAACAGACACACAAGTTGATACTGTGTAGCACAGGGAACGCTATTCAATGAAAAAGAATCTGAAAAAGAACACATGTGAATATATACGACTGAGACATGACGCTGTGCGCCAGAAAGGACACATTGCAACCGACTATATGTCAATTAAAAACAATTTTTTTAAATTAAAAAAGAAGCAAAACTTCAAGATTCTGGAGCAATCAAATCCTGCCCCTGGGGGCGGACATCACGCCACCCACGGCCCGTTAATTACAGCTTTTCTAACCGCTCCACTGTGTTTTGTCAATGTTTCCTATAAATGGTTGAACTTTATACGGAGTCGCCGAGGGAGGGTTCTGACTCTCTCAAGCATTCAATCCACAAGCTTCAAATGCAAACATGGACGATGCAAGATGCGGGCACCTCCGTCCTGCTGACTGGGGGTGACACACACCTGGGTCCTGGGACAGTGATGCCAGGAGCCGGCTTTCCCCGGCCACGTCTCCATCCTCCAGGGAGCAATGCCAGAGGCTCACTGCCTCAAGGGATCCCGTATTCTCAACGACAGATGCAAGGAAACACCCAAGTCACTGACCTCAGGGCTCCCCGGAGGTCGGGGACATTGAGACATAAATGCACGGAAAAAAAACCAAACAGAATGGCAGGGAACGGTCGGTGCCAGCTGAGCTGGGAGCTGGGTGCCTGTTACGGATTTTAAAGGCAAGGGCTGTCGCTTTTGGTGGGAGGGGCAGGGAAAGATCAGACTGGAATATGGTTAAGTCAGCTGGGGAGGATGGAGGGACACCATCGAGACAAAGAGGGGCCTCGGAGGTCCCTCCTGGGCCGACGACCTGCCCCAAAGAGACCCAGAAACTGGTACGAACAGACGCTTCCCGGCATCCGCCGACGTGGCGAGCTGAACTCAAAGACCGGTTCTCAGACGAAAAGAGCAAGGTCGTACTGCCCGTCGGGCCTCTGGCTTCCGCTCAGACCTTATGACCCCGGGACGTCGTTGCTCTGAAAACCTCAAACCCACAAACAAGTGGCCAGAGGCTGGCGCTGAAACGGCCCTCCGCGAAAAGGAGCCTTGGCTTTGGCCCTTCGCAACGCCGCTGGCGCCGTCTTGTCACCAGGTGGCCGAAGCGTCCCTTCCCGCTGCCGAGCGTCCGGCCTCGCGCGTGCCCACGTGATGCCCCTGAGGGAAACCGCCAAGTCCCCGTCTGTTCCAGGGGCCAGGTCTGTTAGCTTTTGATAACCTGCTGTCTTGTTACTTTGGGGCTGGAGGGACACGCAGGAACAATGCTTTCCAGCTCTGGTTTTTTTCTGGGATGGAAACACACGCACGGATCTGGTGAATCAATCGCCCAGAAATCTATACAGGAGGTCGGGGCAGCGGCCAGAACTCGGGGGGCCACTCCCGTGCCACCTCCCCGAGCACGCCCTGCGCCTTC